TCAATGTTACCTTCTTTAAGCTGACAAATCCAGGAGTAGAAATACACCACTAAAGAATTCACTCTGCAAGGACTGACAAATATCTGTAACCCATGAAAGTTCATTGTAACCTGTGATGGACCTGATTTGTGAAATGTACCTAAAAAATCCACAAGTGGCATCTTGAGGATCTGAAATGTAATAAAATACAGTACATTTAAAGAGATTTGATTTGACCAGAAACTAAACAAAGTAACATTTGATAATATTGAGGTCTGGGTACTGATGTTCAAGTCATTTTGGCACATAACAAAGTAACTTATTTGATAATTAAACGATACATGGTAATTAATCCTTTAATGCCTAAGAGTGATAAGGTTCTAATTTCTCCTTACAATATCACCCTTGAATAAAATGTTTCGGTCACGAGAATAAAGGAAATGATCAGTAACTACAGAAAATCTTGATGTTTTTACAAATTCTCCTTGTTAGAACCTTGAAAATGTAAAGAGAACAGTATGGAGAATATGCATGATGATGTTACAGTGTAAAGGGTTAAAGTTAGGTGTGAGTGGATAGGTCGAGGCAAACAGGTTTGAAAGGTGCAGTATATTTCAAACTCTATAGAGGAAACAGGTCAGCTCAGGTAAAGTCAGACAGGTACAGACAGGTTTGACTACAATAGGCAGCTCTGGACAGAAAACAGGTTTGGTCAGGTCAGACTGGTTTGACAGGTGTGACAAAAGACAGGTCAGGTCAGATCATTGCCTTCAGGAGTATGTCAAACCATATGACTGATCAAAATTTGCGCAAATTTATCTTACCTTTTCTCTTCTGGCCAGTACAAGCCCTGGATCATAAGGCCCACAGCAGTATGTTATTTCCCTCATTTTAATACATAATGACGTGGCCTCTTTTGATGGTATCAACAACCCATCCACAACAGCAGCCTGATAAAAGAAATCCATGTAAGCAGATTGAATGCTACCTGTTTTTCTAACTGTCCAGCTATTGAGAAGTTGTAGACTCAACCCCCGGGATGATAGGCAAAGTGAGCATGCTCAGCTCTAAATAAAAAGGTCTGAGTTGAACCCTGGCTGAGATGCTGTTCTGTGCTCTAAAAAAATTTGGTTTGTTTTAACATTGGCTCATAGCACCCATGGGTATGTATAGAAACACATTTTCAGAGAAACTAGACAAAACCCCACAGAGTAACCTGTGATGTATCAGCATTCTGTCAACAAAATAATACATGATTCTTTATTTTCCAATAGTGACTGTGCCAAACTTAATTCCTCTTCATCACTTTTTCATAGATAAGTGCAATATGCATGTATTCCTCCACACCACCAGCAAGTGCAACAGAACAGATTACCTCAAACATTGCAACACAGGAGCCTCCCCTGTGCACATGTAGTCTGCTTCCAATTTGTACATCAGTAGCATGCAGCAAAGTAAAGGACGGTGGTATAGTCTCACTGGAATTGCGAAGGTCACTGCTGATCAGGTCACTGGGTGAATGCTATCAATCAAAACGGAAATGGTTTAACATTGATGAAGTTTGCACAGCCAAACACATTCCAATTAACACACCTCCTTAACACTACTCAAATTTTTTCTTTAACCATATAGTAAAGAACATCCTCCAGAGATCAATTCAGAAAAATAATAATCATCATCATAATCATAATAAAAATAATAATAATAATAAAACTTTAGGTCAGTGCCAAATGGATCCAGCTTTACAGATAGAAGTCAATTGGGAGACATAACTTCACTGACAATAAAACTTATTTAGAGGCTTACATTTATATCATCAGTACATTGATCACTCTAATCTAAGATCCAAAATCTAAAATCCACAATTCATAATTTACAATTTTCAATCTACAGTCTGAATCTAAAATCTAAAATCATAATCTACAGAGGTGCCACAGTCACCTGTCATTTAGTTATTTTACAACGTTTTTAAAGAACTGAAGGTAAGGCAATTGTTTGGCCTAGTTGTTTAGAAGTTTATATTTAAACATCTGTAAGATATTGTTAAACTCAATTATTACACAGAATTTATATATAAAAATTTAAGTACAATACATACTTACAATATTCTAATACCAGTGAAAAGGTATAACTATAAAACATTAATGTAATTAATATATGATTTAAACATTAAAACCTCACCATCTTCCAGTGAAGAGTAAAGGAAGTGTACACATCTGTTGTTGTATCCTAAGAACAGAAAATGAATTAAATTTAAAAGAATCAAGATGTCACAGAAGGCAATTCACATTACGTTAAATTCAAGACAATACTGCCCAACATTTTCATTAAAGGCACTCCTACAGCAGTATTTAACGAAGATCAGTAAAATTTATGAACTAGTATTTGAACAAACCTCTGTATCAGTAAATATTTCTCTGTGTACATCCTTTACAGAAAACAAAATTGTGATATCCCTACAAGAAACAAAAAATGTCAAATTTACTGCACCAAAATTTGGTAAATTTTAATCTGGTCAAAGAGTGCACAAAACTGCAAAATTTTCCTTAATATATAAATTTTTTTATACAAATACTTCTAAAATTCCAACCTACCTAACTTTTAGGAAATTCCATTCAATTTTCTTTAATGATATATCTTCAATTGTCTGTTGAGTAAAACAAAAGAAATTTTATGAAATGCATAAGTCAGAAAATGCTAATTGCTAATAAAAACAGATTTATGCCCAGGAACCAAAACTCTATTTTATTCATTAGTCACTTGCTTGCAGTTATTGTACTTACAGTAGCTAGCAGAAGTCAACTCGGACAAACATAATCTAAACTTTCCTTGGTAGTTTTTAGTTTTTTTTTAGTTCCTCTCTGGTTATCAAAGCCTTTCATTGGCCAACCTCTACTTGTCAAGGTTACTTTAAAGCCTTGTTCAAATGGTTATGATAGTTGAAAATAGTTTCAACTTTCACGCATGTTTTAACCCCTTTCAACCCAACATCAGTATGCATATTCCCCATACTGCTCTCCATACATTTTCTTAAGGTGCTGACAAGGAGAATTTGTTCAACTATCAAGAGCTTCTTTAGTTGGTGATCATTTCCTTTATTCTCATGACCTTAATGCATGATTCAGAGGTGATATTGTAAGGAGAAATTAGATGTTAGTCACTCTTAGGGGTTAAAGGGTTAAACACCAACTATCGTGCACTATCATCAACTATTACAGTGAATGATAGTTTTTCATTCAGGAGTTTTGCCAACAACTGGCTCAAACTGAAATGGCAAGTGGTAAAATGACTAAAGTAGCCGTCATAAGTTCGCAGAATTTCTAGTAGTTCAATCCCATCATCTCTTGGTAGGCTTCAGTATCTTCAGCTTGCAACTTCTTAAATTCATTTTCAAATACCACCTAAATTGCTGACCTCAGCACATGCCATATTTGTTCACAGTAATGCGATCTCATCATGTGATTTTGTCAACTATCATCAACTTTCATGAACCGTTTGAAAGCAAACATGGTAGTCAATGATAGCAAATGAAAGTGGAAACTATAATCAACTATCGTTGGTTTGAACAGGGCTTAACAAGTGGCTATAGATGCCTACTCCTCCTCAATGCAGAGGTGTAATGACACATTTAGCTCTCTCACTTAATAATAAAATTATCCTGTCCAAAGTCCAAACCTTGACCAGTTGGACCAATACCTCAACCATTAACCCTTAATGCTTAAGATCTCATTTTAAAGTAATTCTCCCAACTGTCTGCCATACAATTCTTGTGATGCCAGTTCAGAGAATTTGGTATTGGATCAAATTTATTTATCTTTATTCTCATCACTTGTCTGCTTGACATTATAAGAAATTCTGTCTTGGTCATTCATGGGAGTGACAGGGTTAAAATCATTACAGCTTTTACTAGAAAGTCTAAACGAGAGAGCAGCATGCAGCTGTATCTTCACTAAATCAGTGAAAGCTGTAGCTTACATTGGAATTGTGGTCAAAATTATTTCAAACCATATTTTTACTTCACTTAATATGAAGATTGCGCTAATCTAAAAGGAAAAGAGAAAAATAAAGAAAACTTCCCCAAGTTAAAATCATTTCGACTCACAACTCACTTTAAACAGAAACATAGGAAAAAATTTATCTCATACCAGTCCTGAGTTATCTTCCCAAAGTACTCTTACACCTTGAACAGATAAAAATCCAAACTCTCTGATGGTAATTTCCACTTCACGAAGTCCAAACCACCACACAAGTATAAATGACAAGATATGATTCAGAAACCTGCCATGAAGTAAAACAAAATAAACTTAGCCTTCCAGTATACATTTGTAAAGAAATAATATCAACTCTCAACATAATTAAGGTTACCATATAAGAGTACCAATTAGAGGTGCGTATGATTCACTGATGTCAATATATTGTATTCACTTTCTTCTGATACAATTTCATCATGACAGTTAGAGCTAGAGTTAGAGCCAGAGCTACTGGTCTGTTAAGATAATTTGGTTATATCAACTGAGTTGATGATGTAAATTGGCCATTTTAGGGAGTTACTGCAAAGCTACAGGTCTGTTTCCTAGCAGAATCCAGCTGCCACAAGTGGGTAGCTATTATCTTTGGGGATCTTCAATGTAACCTTTGTTTTTTGTTACAACTTTTAGCAGCACTTCTGATAAGAAAGCCTTCAAGCACTCACTGATTCTTTAAAGAGGTATCGAGAAAGTTTGCCGCTAGATTTTTGAATGAAGGTTGATGTTATTCAGTGAATGACACAGGTATAATAGGAGAAAAAGAACTTAAGAGTGCTTCCAACAGACGTAGAACCTTTTGATAAGTACTTTGGACATTCCACCCCTGAGCTATAGGAGATGCATTGCAAACTAGGCCTCACTAAACTTGTAAGTCATTGTTTGTAGTCTGAGAACACACATGTAACTTTGACCATTCACCAGAACAGATATCACCAACATGTGGGAAACATTTTGCAGAGAAAGAAATATTTTTCTTAATAGGCAATTTCTCTGAGCCACAGGGCTTATCTGAGAAAATCAAGTTGACAACATTCTACAAAATCAATATACACGTATGTTCCCTGAGCTCTCAGACACTGCGCAGATTGCAGCTTGGTCAAAATTGCAAAGCATCACTTGTACAATAATGTCAACTAATAACCTTCAGAAACTTGTCTCAACTTGCAAAATAAATACAAATGTGCAGAACATACAAAAGATTCTGCAAAATATCAAAACTGTGGAAAAGAGACATGAAAATGGACATGAAGGATTCAGTTCCAAGTGGTGTTGCATTAGATTGAATTTCATAATTCTGAGATCAAATAGAAATTACAGCAAATAACCATAATTTACTGAATAGTGTTACATTAAACTTCCTTGTAGCAACAATTCTCAAATAAATCTGCAGAAATTGCAGACAGGAGACTACCTGCTGTTGAAAGCTCTGCCCTCAAAAGAGCAAACTTCATTTGTTATGAAGGTTTTACTATCGAAATATTAAACATAACTCGTTCTCTATGTTAAGTTCGAGTATCTGTGGCAGAAAAAGCAACAAGGCGTGGTTTGTGCTGTAAAGCTTACATATGCATGAAAATCTCGACCCTTGGACGTCGTACCGGACTCTTGAGTAATGGCACGATGATTTCAAATTCGAAATTTTCATTCAAAGTATATCCTCCACTAGTTGGTTAATTCGAAATATATAAACATTTAGAACTAACTTCAAAATCTCTCGTTTAAATTTGCAAATAGAGGAGTTAGTATACATAAGTGAGCTTATAACTTCAATCAGGGCTAACAAGATTGGATGAATTTCACAATAGAACGAAAGCGAATATTGTACAAGAACATTTAACGATAACTTACCAAGTGCTAACACGAACCCATAAGAGATATATCCTCAAGTATATGTTAATGACCAAAAATATCGGGCCAGTAATCCCAGAAAAAACACCATTTGTAGATGTGGTGATTGTTCTCAACATGCCTGATGTCTGTAGACGAGAAATTCAGTTTCGATAATTTCAACTTTTGTAAACGTCTACTTGCGCTTCTTGAGTGGTTGTGTTGTTCTTCTGTTGTTGATATCAGCCTCTTCGTCACAGACAGTTTCAGTTTGAGCTGCTCAGTCGAGTGTTTCTTGACGGAACCAGTTTTATAAATGATGTAATTCCCTCATAGACGCCATTGTTTTGCAAATGAAATTCATCTTTGACCTTCAACCATCACGTGCCCATTAAAGCATCACACCACATCTAGTATTTCATTTTGGTCAAGAGGTCTTAATAAAAAGACGCTCATTAAATTTCGAGCTATATACTTCCGTTCAAGGAGCCAAAGTACGAAATAAACGAATAGTTGATCAGATGACAAATAACCAAATAAAACGTTAATTACGTTCTAGACAAGTTCAAAACACCGTTGAAGTCTCTTTCCATTTTCTCATTCATGTAAACTTAAGAATCTGTCTTTTAGTGGAGAAGACCGCTGATAAACACCGTGACTGGTTCGTTTCACAGAATTTCTTCGCTCAACTCAGTTTGCCTGTGATACTTATTTTCCCTTCCTCAAGATCCTGAGGCTAAACTGCAGAATACCCAGCCACTTTGGTCCGCCTCTCTTATATGTGTCGGGAGGCTTTAAAGATCGAGGCATGACACAATAGAGGCTATTCTTATTCGATGACATGTAAATGAGTGGCCGGGTATTCTGCAGTTGCTCCGATCCTGATTTTCGATATATATCTAATAAAACTCATAAATTAAAAAAAGACATAACTCCGGAAGAGAAAGGAGATCACAAGGAAAATTGTTTTAAACGCTTCTTGTTCTCGACACACAACGCACTTCTCCCCAACAATGCCTTGTGCGACGATGATATTCTCTTACAGGGAAAGTACGGTCTAGAAAAAAAGTTTATCTCAATTACAAGAATCTTTCCACAGAAGTTCGAAAATAACCTCTATTTTGTCTCGTTTGCCTTGCAATTGCGGCAATAGCGCTTTGAAGTTGTTCATATTAAGAGCTTTTGCAATTTTAGAAAAAAACATAAGCGAATAAATTGAAGGTCGAAGTGATGATCGGCGACCACGTGTGGTAAATTCTCAGTCGCCATCCGTGACCAAAGCCGATTTTTAACATCATGGGCTTTTCCCAACTTAATTGCAAAAATATATCTTGTCTTTCCTAACTCTGTTCTGGGTCCACTTAGTAAACTGTCTTTACCTCACTGATCGCAAACCCTTACGAAAAAAAACTAAAGGACCATTTGATACGTTACCGGCAAATAACCCAGACAAACACGATTACAACAATACAGATTATCTATCGCTTAGCAGGCGCCCACATTCGATTGAACACAATAACAGCTTTCATGAGCTTTTCTTGTGCTCTCATAAAGATTTGAATAAATAAATTCATATAAATCATGTGACGACATTTTTGCAATAAATTTAGCAAGATCTCTAGAGGTAATATGAAAAGTGCCATAGACAAACGCAACAACCAGCTGATATCGTGAGTTCATGTCGCACGAAGTGGGGCGGAGGGGGAGGAGGGAGATGCAAAGACAAAGAGGTGTTGAAGATGAGTTGGCCGGATGGAACGAATGGCAAGCTTGCTGCAATCCGGATCGAGATCATGAGGTCCAAGTTCTAGCCTGGTTCTTGGAGTTTTCGAGTCGTGTTCTTAGGCATAACATTTACTTGCGCAGTTTCTTAGCGACAAACTATATCCAGGGGTTGATTGTAATAAACTACATGATCCTCGTCAATAACTGTTGAGAATTCCCCCTCCTCCTCTCCCTAATTTTCAAATTTAGGTAACAAGAAAATAGGCCCTTTTGCAGTTGTGTACTTAGTTGCCAATCCTTTGATTTGGAGTGAAGCTGAAGGTGACCTTGTTGTGATAGAGACTAGTATCTAGCTAGCGTGATAACAAAAAAAAATTTGCATTTTAGAAGCAGTAATGTTTGTATCATAACAAGGTCATCCTTAGCCTTACTCCTGTTCAATCGCTTGGCAATCAAGCACACAACTATGAAATGGACTATTGGACCGACTGAAAAAATCAACCCCTTTGAAGAGGGAGCAGAGTGTTTGAACAAAACCTGGCCATGGAAAGGATTATTCCGGCAACTTTGGTGTTGTCCTCCCATAGATCAAACAATAATCTTTTCGTTTCAATTTTTACACTTTGAAGCAACATTTCTCGTCGAAAATCTTATCTTGACGTTTCGGCTTTGCGCAGACCTGAAGAAAATTGGAACCTTGTAAAACTAAGCGTTAACCACAGAATTTAATCTGAAGCAATTACTCGAGCATGGGCAAATTTTAATAAGGGCTATGATTTTGTAACAAACAGAAATTTTCGAACGCTAAAATTTATAATTTATTTATGTTACTGTACACTCTAGAAGTTTCCTTTCTCAGTTTAATTCCTTCGCCATCGCAATTGTCTGCTTTTATGTTGTTTTCGCCTGACGAATTAGATACTGAAAAAGATATCTTGGTGAAAACACACGGACTTGACTATCCAATCAAAGCGATAATCAAAACAATCGCAGTCGGCGATGAATAATTGAACGCAATAACACAGTGAAGCCTACGCGTTTGCAAAGTTTGATAGCAAAGCGCCAAGACCAAGTCTTTAGCGTATCTGGCAAGGAAAAACAGAATTTTGGAAAAACCTGTTAATTCTCAGCTATGGAGTTAACACCTACTCAACGAAAAAACTTGGTTCCTTTGGTTCTGTTTCTGGCCAATTTAATCTATCTTTACTTAGGAGGGCTCATCTTTGAATCTATAGAGTACGAACCTAAAACGAAATATACAACGACAGACGATGTGAGTTTGTTTTTGGAAACTTTGAAGGAAACGTCACTTGGAAAGAGAATGCTGCCGTCAGATTTTGACAGCAAAGAAGTTGTTAAGGGTTTACAAACGGACTCATTGAAAAATCTTAATGATAAGTTTGAGAAAATTCAAAACGAAAGGATAATTGCTTCCAGACCGCACTGGAGTTTTTCGAATTCGCTCTTCTTCGCCACAACTGTAGTCACAACAATCGGTAAGGCTTGAGTCATAATTTTACTGCAACTACTTACTCATTTTAGTTAACGCAACTTAACTGCTTAAGAAACATTTTTTTTAGGCAAGCTGGAAAACATTCCAATGGCGATAACTTAATCTCTGATGATTTTAATTTTCAGTTCCGAATGAACTAATTTTATTGATATTAGAGTATTTCAGGTTAGTGCTGGAGTTAAATAAGAATATACGAGGGTGAGATGGAAATCTCTCTCTTCTTGCATGGTATCAAAGATATACTACCTCGAAGTGATGATAAAAACCTACACTCAAAATGAAAAATAAAACAATTCTTGGAAAAATAACTTGGAAATCTTTTCAACAACTCTCCAGGACTCCTTACATAATTTGAAAATATTTTATTGAAAAGTATCTATTTCATAAACTTCACTACAACTTGCGTGGTTCTCGATGATAACTTTTTCAGTAACAAAAAAGTATATATCCCCAGAATCAATTTCGGTTAAAACGCTCGTTAACATGTAATCAACATCCTGCTTTCACATTGTTTAGATAAAGAAATTTTCTATAATAAGGAAGATGTTATCTTACTAACGACAAAATATCCTATTGGTTCTGGAGTTTTTGTCCTGGCCACAAAACGTACGCTTCTTCCCACAGGAACCCTCGGCTTATGCACGAAAGGCAATCATAAAAAACGGTTTTGAAGGTCGAATTTTAATCTGGAGTGAGGAAGTTTGGTGAAAATACATGAAAAACTATACAAGGTCTTATGATAAATAGATAAAGAAGAGAATGAGGAAAAATTGCAGCGTTAACAGAGTTTTAAGAGGTCACACTTAATAGCCGATGAAAGGCGAATTGTAAACAAACACATTTAGATCAAGTGAGAAACAAAACAGCTTGATGGCGGTTGAAGGCTTGGACCCGCGATCAAGTAGACTGGGTTCGAGTCCAAGCCAGGTCATAGCTTTGTTTTCTTGGCATGTGCAACGCACTGTACTATCCAATCCTCACTTCATCCAAACTTAAGGGAATACCACGTTTTTTTTTTTTTTGAGAAACGGGACGATTTGCTGAGAATGACCTGCGCGTTGGACCTGCCATCCATCCAGGATAAGCCGGAACAAGGATGGAGACGATTGAAACGAATTTCAAACAATAATCTTGAAAACTTCCACCTAAACTTCTGAGATGCTAATCGACATGTGCAATTATTCAAAAAGTGATTTTTACTTTATTCAATTATTCAAAAAGCGATTCCAAACTGATAGTTAACGTTTAATGGACTCCTTATAAAAATTAAGGCACAGAAAAAGAGCGAGCGGTTGTGATAAAGGTTTCAAAACCTCATTCAAATCGCCTACTGGTGATGCCCTTATACTGCGCTGATAACTTTGTTCTTTTCATTTCTTTTAGGCTATGGTAACCTAGCCCCGATATCATTGGGCGGTCGCATGTTCTGTATTATATACGCTCTCATTGGAATACCTTTGACCCTGATGTTGTTAGCCGTGGTGGGAAATCACATCGTGCACTACCTAAACAACGCATGCGCTTGGCTAGTGAACCGCATTCGAGCCTACCATAGTAACTACGAGTTCGAGTCTGCAGATACACAGATCAATGCACCTGTCTGGATTGCATTGCCGATCATCTTCGTATTTTTAGCGATTATGTCTTCGATGTACTGCGCTCTGGAGGGATGGGATTTTGGCACGGCGCTGTATTTCATCTTTATCACATTTACAACCATTGGATTTGGAGATATCGTGCCTCGATCTCAAGCGGTAAGTATCCCCTAATTGGCTCCGATTAACGGGCCTGTCACACAAGCCAATTTTCACACTAGCTTGTTATGCAAATTCTGTTGTGACAGAGTACAAGTTTGAGGAAAATTGGCTCGCTCATTGTACCACCTCAAGTTCTCGTCGCATTAAGCTCTACGCGAAAATTTATTTTAAATTTCTGAATTTTTTTTAATATCATTATTAGAATTATTGTTGATATTATTATCATCGTAACTATCTTTGTTATCCAATCATCATCAGTTATTTTCATTATTGTCATTAACATTACCCCTGTTATCATAATTATTCTAAGGAACCTCCTTTGCTAGTTAGTCGCTGATGCATTTAATACGATTTTCCGTCTTTTTCTCTAACCTACATCTATTCTAAAATACAACCTCTTTTATACACCGATCAATTTGAAGTTTAAACATCCCCCGGCAACCCACGGGAATTTTACCGTCGTTCATGCCCAGGGGGGTGGGGAATTTGAACCTTGCCTAACTAAAGTGAGTCATTTGAACCGGACCTGTCAAGTCTTTCCAGCATAAGACACGTGTTTTAATGGACGAGTCGTAGAATGATGCTTATAAGCAGAAACCCTAATGGCATGCAGCAGCACCAAAAACTGATACTTGTTAAATTCGACAACATTTGTTGATCTCACAGGCAACGTTCAAAATTTGGTCTGACATTTGAACGCAGTTTTGGCCCGGGGGCGAGAATTGAACCAGCCAATCTTCAAAAGTGCAAATGCCAGGAGGGGTTGCCTAACGCGGGATGTTGAAGCTTCGAATGGATTAACGCATTTTAGATCATCCGTGGAGGTCTTTCTCTTCGTTTTTCCATTGAACTTTAACGATTTCTTATCAAGCTTCACACTAACATGTTGTCTACGTCCTTTCCTACTTGGGTTCATGTTATCGTTTATATTATCCTGTCCCGGGTGTTCAGCTGGTAAAGCGAAGTGCGGTAGTAAATGGCGCAGGAGTAGAAGAGTAAAGAAAATTGAGGGAAGTTTGGGTCGGGTAGCGCAATGACAACACTCCCTCGTTTTCACTCTGCTGCTACTATCGCGCCGTTTACTTTTCTGTTCTATTTTATGAATCAAATCATGGTTAGAAATTAAATCACTGACGCGCGATCTTGTCTCTTCGGCTGTTCGGAGGTAAATGGTATTTGCTAAATCGAATCAGCTAATCAGTGCGAGCGAAAAGCACCATTCACCTGTATGGTATATACGTACTTAGTCTGGATATGTAATTGATGAAATATTTGTATTGTGTTTATCTCTCTTCTTTCATTGCCCTTCTCCAATAAATTCACTCACTTGCCATCTCAAGCTTTTGATCATCAAGTCCATCGACCAAAGGCGTCACTTGGACAACATGCCCACACCCATCATTACCTGTGCCACCAGCTATCACATCACAATAGCGTACAACATAGTGACACCGCAGTGTCGCTGATGCAATGTGATTATAACATTTCAAAACTTGCACTAACTTTACCACTTAACTATCTCTTCTTAGACGAGCAGGAACGTTTCTTACAGCGGACCGCGTATAGGAGAGGTTCGCCAACCACTCGCTCTTCATGTGCACAGCCTTTCTTCATGAGCACGTAGCCTATCAACACGATTGAAATGTTCTTCCTTGTACGATGATATCCATGCTTGACTAATTATTACATTAAATGCTAAACTAATTCCCCTTTTAAAATGCGCACTAAGTACTCTGCCAAACACCTGAATATGGTGGTCTGTGTCTATTTGCTTTCGATGGGCCGTAAAGATAAAGCTCACTGAGCCACCTATATTTATTTATTTCTTCATTCTCTCAATCATATCTGAGGAGAAAATAAATGAAACGCTGAATACTTGTCTGCACCTGCACATGCCCAAGCACGAACACATCACGAGCAAATCACGTGCATGTTCTTGTCCACGTGACATACCTGTCATTAACGTTCTTATTGTTTGACACTGAGGAAAGAAGAAAGCTTAGTTAGTTCACTAGTTCAGTTCTTTTTTTTTTTTTTTCCTGTCTTGCCACATAAATAGTCAGTTTTAGTGTAAACTATTGCATGTGCATGACGATAACTGCATGATTTTGTTTTCTTCTCTCCTCAACGTCCCGAACAGCTTGCATTGATATTTCAGGGTATCTGGATCAACCTGATGCTCCTATATATCGGATTGTCGATCGTCTCCATAACCATCAACCTCTGCGCGCAGAGCCTCATGGCTCAGCTGAAAAAGACTGGTCTCCACACGAAGATCCTGCAACTCTTCTCAACGCAAGGGGACTCGGCCGAGGGCATCAACGCTCGCACGCAACAAGGAGAAACCGCTGATAGAGATCAGGCTCGGAAATCCAATAGGAGAAAAGGTAAAATAGGAGAGAGGATAGCGATGTCAGATCTTGAGCCTCGCTCTGATGGCGAGAGGTCTGGTCCTGGCCGAGAGGATAAAGAACATTCGACAAGGCTGAAAATAAATCGAGAGGCCGATGGCAAACATTATGGAACCCTACAAGAATAAAAAATTTGAGATTGTTTCCACAATACATACAGGCTGGAAAGTGTCTGGCATGAAATGAAACCCAGCATATCACACGTGTAACTGAAAGTAGTCATTTACTGTATTACGACAGTCACAACTATTGGCGTTTATGAAACAACAGAGTGAGCTGTCATGATCAAAGAAAATAAATGCGAGATTGTGAGCGTGCTTAGAATGCGGTTAGATCGATACAAATAAACATTATAGCCATTTGGTAACTAAAAGGGGTAACTCAATTTCAAATTTTGTGCGATGAAAAAAATTTGTGTTTCATTGAGTAGATGCGATGTGCGATGCAGAGGGAGTGGCAAAACAGTACTGCTTCAAAAACTTGAACCAGCTTTGGACCAGCGGTAATGCCAAACCACACTGATCGCATGGTAAAAGTCTTAGCTCGCTCTATACCGAGAGCTTTATTTTTTCTTTATTTGATCTATTTCTATCGGTCTGATCAAGTGTCATGCATAGTTTTGAGAAAATAGACTATTGAGATTATCTACAGAAGAAAACAATCGGCGTGTCAAACACTACTCGGAGCGCGCTTTTGAGGGACTGGGATCTAATTAATTAAAATTTCCTCCCCGCAAGGGCGACCCTAAACGGTGGAATGGCGGAGTGGTGGAAAATGACCCCAAATCCTAAAACACGGAACGGATGTCAGGGCATGTTGCACAAATTTTGTACAAAAACACTCAAGCGCTTGGCTCATTCATCCCCACGACGATAACGTGCGGGGCTAAAATTAAGTGTTATTAATTTTTTTTTCTTTCACCGGGTGGTATGAATGATAATGAACCATTATGCATGAAAGATAGCTGCGTTTTCGCGTTGTAAAACTGTTTTGTTACCTTTTGTAATGCTAAATTTGCCACGAGTTTTAGTCGCGGCATAAAAAGTACCACATTACAATAAACAATTGTAACTTTGATACGTTTCCTGGTCACGTCATATGCTTGTAAATGTGAGAACATCACAGGAACGTTTTCAGGCTTCTCAAAATATAACGACGTTCAGCCCCAGCTTCAAACTTAGACCAGCGTGAGAGCAAGCCCTCGTTACGAGCCTTCAATACGAGCGTTTTTTCATCTCCGAATAAGTTTTGGGACTTGAGAACACTAGGTGAAGAGAGATTTGCAGGGTGTCACGCGCGTGGGAATTTCTCATGGCGTGAAAAGACAAAAGGAAGTTAGTAGAAGGAAGCCGTCAAGAAGAATTTGAAGAATTTCTTAGCGACCAGGTGTCCAAAACACCACCATCCTACTGTGAAATTTACGGCTTACATATCAGCGGAAGAAATAAACTTTCTGGACAAAAAAGAGGCTATTTCACCAATTCGTCCAAAGGAATTTCTTCTGTTCCTTAACAAATTGCAAATCGTCAACTCTATGGCGTTTAAATTGCCCTTCCTGAAAGGGAAGTGTAATTCAGACGGATCTTTGGATCGTCATGGTTTACCATTATTCGCATGGAAGCAGTTGCGAGACAAAGAAGAGGCTATCGGTCGAGGATACTATGGTTTGATTTTTGTGGCGAGAAACAATTCTGAGAAGGTCGTAATCAAAAAACTGTTAGGTGAGGACGAGAAGGAACAGCGTCTTTTCCTCAAAGAGACAAAAATACTCCTTGGGATTAAAAGTGAACATATCGCTAGGTTTCAAGCATGGTTCATGCACTAAAAATGACTATTTATGTGTGCATGGAACCGTGTGCAATGATGCTTGAAAAAGCGAAAGCGCAGCTATCTTTCATGCATGATGGTTCATTATTATTTATACCACTCAGTAAAAGAAAAAAAATTAATAACGCTTAATTTTAGTCACGCGCGTTATCGTCGTGGGGATAAATGAGCCAAGCGCTTGGTGTCTTTGTACAAAATTTGTGCAACATGCCCTGACATCCGTTCGTGTTTTAGGATTTGGGGTCATTTTCCACCGTTCCATGTTTTAGGATTTAGGGTCATTTTCCACCGTTCCATGTTTTAGGATTTGGGGTCATTTTCCACCATTCCACCATTCCACCATTCCACCATTCCACCATTCCACCATTCCACCATTCCACCATTCCACCATTCTATCATTTAAGCTTTTAGGGTCGCCCCCCATCAACACCAGCGCGTTACCTTTTCCGTGACCTTACTGAAATTTTTGAAATGGCGGACGAATCAACCCGATTGATCATTAAAGGCAAGAGAATCTTGCTGCCAGATTGTGTTTCTTCGGGAAGTATAATCATAGACAAGGGGAAGATTGTTGGAATAGAGAAAGGAATGGATACCGCTCAATTACCTCCACGGACGAAGGTAAAATGGGGCCGGGAGGAAGCGCTACTGACCAATATTGTAACCCCATCAAGGGTCATGTTACCCCACGAGAGTCAAAATTTTTTTTGCGGTGTATCATGCCGGTTGATCATCAAACGTTCCACGAGATTCTACGCCTAACTCATGAAATATATGAGTGCAAACTTGCCCATTTTTACCGCGAAATTTACCTAAACAGGCCTTTGTGTTGCTCGTGAACGATGCGGTGTTCCATTTTAATAGTGGGTTTGCTATACGGGACCCTTTTTCTTAATCGAGCAGACAAAGTTACTTGTAATGTGTTGATTTAAGCGAAATGAAATGCTCTTTTGGTTATGTTTGATGTTTGGTGTGCCAGGAAAGCGAGTGTGCAAAACTTTGTCAATGATCCCTAAATTTCTCGATTCGAAACACTTGAAGACCAAACTTTCTTGCGTCGCAGAAGATTGAATCTCCTGCGAGACCTAACATTTTTCATAGCGGTCAGTTTTCAAAGTTCCGAATTTTTTTCCCATTACTTATAATAATTTTCACTCTCCTTGAGCAGTCATGGTCACTTGCAACCACTCAAATTCAACTAAGAATTATCTTTCAAGCAAAATTTAATCTACCTGAGGGTATTAGTAGTATAGTGTGTGGTCAGTTATGACATAAAATGGTGCTCCAAAGAACTGATTGTTAATTCTTCCCTCTAGCTGCTACACATTTCCTTGTAAATAAGTTACAAGAATTTGGTGTTAGATCAAGATTACTTCTACATGATACATTTGAGTATTCTCATTACCTGTTTGCTAGATTATTAGGAGAAGTTACTTGTTAATCACTTCTGGGAGTTTAAGGGTTAACACAGGTCTGACAGTGTTTGGCTTACAGGGTGGAATCTAGGGGAGGAGTGCAGGGGGTGAGTATCCCCCTCCCCTTAGATAACATGAGGCTTTCTGTTTTTCAAGCCAAAGAGAGAAAAAGGAACTTACTATTTGGTCTATTGGTGTTGAAGTAAACATGAGTCAAGGTTCAAGAACTGATTTTAAACACCATAAAAATGGTAGTTTGGCAATGACATTTCAAGCATTAGCTTATTTGTCAGAGCAGACATTCCTTAGCTAAGCACCCACTCCTAAGAAAACTCCTCTATGTGCCCCTGTCTTCTGTAGCTCAATTTTTTTCCAAGATTGCAAAGGCAATTATTATGAAGAAATGTGCCCACCAGGCACCTAATTACCTTACTTACTTCTCTCCGATGATTCCTTTTTTTGGTTGGTTAGCAACACTGCATCCTTATTCCAAACAGAGCTGACCAATCCAATCATGTTACAAGGGTAAAGGCAAAATAAAATGCTTAGGCACTCAAATTTAGTTCAATAATTCTGTAAATAAAGCAGACAGTGCTAGGATCTCCAGTGTCAAATGAGCACAATGAAGGGAGAAACCAGTATGCTGATAACATTTCATGTGTCTGGTTAAGTTCCTCACCTCACAAGCTTAATACAAATCCAGTGCAATCAGAATATCAATCTGTGATAACAGAGGATAACACCTCTTGGCAGGTCATAGATGCAGGAGAGCTGGTAGTGATGCCAGGAGTTGTTGATAGTCATGTCCATGTCAACGAGCCTGGGAGGACAGATTGGGAAGGGTTTGCAACAGCAACACAAGCTGCAGCATCAGGTGGAATCACTACCATTGTGGACATGCCCCTGTAAGTACTAATTAACTCTTTTGATTCCAGGAATTAACCATTAAGTTAAATCCTTTGGGTTGGTTATTTACACAAGGTCTAACCCAAACCACATTTTCATTCAAGTAGTGGGCTCAGGTCTTCTCTTTAAGAGGGTTGATTGAAGTAATTAAATGTAACACATCAAGCTTTTGGTGAAAGTCTTAGAGAAAAATAAATTATGTTTTTTCAGCAACATTTTACTGCTCATCGCAGTAGTGACATCTTAAACTCCCTTGTGACTGTTGTTTAAGACCACGACATAATAATTTAGCCAGGGCCATAACATGACCCATTATTAACCCTTAACCCCCTAACATCAGTATGCATAGTTATTCTCCATACACTTCTCCATACATTTACAAAGAAGCACACAAGGAGAATTTGTATAACAATCAAGAGCTGCTTTAGTTGGTGATCATCTTCTCCATTCTCATAACTTTAATGTTTGATTCAGGGATGATAAAGTAAGGAGAAATTAGATGCTAGTCACTCTTAGGGGCTTAAGGGTTAATCTAGCATGATACTTAGGCTAGCACCATGTCTTCCTCACAGATCATTGATTGCAGAATTAGTCAGGCTTTAGATTCCTGGTGTTATCAAAAGAAAATTAGGGAGTGGATGAGAATTTAATGCTATCATGTTGAAATATTCACTTTCCATCATAAATTGAATGAAGATAATTTGATATGTCTTTTGTATCAAAAGAAATTCTATTCCTCCCACCACTACCCTGGATGGATTTTATACCAAACTTAACAGTGCTAGGAGCAAATGTTGGACGGATGTTGCATTCTGGGGAGGGGTGGTACCAGGAAATCAGGTATTAAAAATATGAAGTAAAGATTTTAATCACTTGTCTGCCTGATATTGTACTGATATAGTAAGGAGAAATTTCGTCTTGGTCACTCATGGCTATAAAAGGGTTAAGCCTGACTGTTGCCAACTGAAGACATCTGAATAAGATGTCAGTCTATGCTTTTGTTAAGGAGAATATTTTTCATTGTTAGGCTGAAATAAAGCCCATGGTGAATGCTGGTGTTAAGGGTTTCAAGTGCTTTCTTGTGCACAGTGGTGTTGATGAGTTCCCCTCTGTCACAGAGAGTGATGTGAGGCTGGCCATGGAGCAAATGCAGGGAACAGATGCTGTGTTTCTGGTAATGTTTAATTATTATGACTTTCTTCCGCTACCACATGTTGATTGGAATAATTTTTTTTAAGGTCATCTTTGTGATAGGCCTTTTTAGCCATTTACACCCCAACTTCAGTAAACATGTTAGTCTGCATAATAGGAAGTTGCAAATTACATGTAATGTAAATTATTAATCGATCAAAGATTGATTGTCCTTATTAATTTGTGGAAGATGCAATTTTTCGCATCAGGCTATCTATTGATTAATTGACCAATTAATGATAAATTCTTTTTTGGTATCTAGCCTTTAGCATGCATATTCTCCAAACTGTTCTCCATAAATTTCCTGAGGTGCAGACAAAAAGAATTTATTTAACAATCAACAGTTAGTTGGTGATCATTTCAGTGGAATTAACTGAGTCAATAATGGGAGTTGGCCACCCAAAAGCTGACATTTTGACTGTTGGCCTGCATTTGCTCAGACTAAGGGCCAACACTTGAAGAATCAGCTTTAGAAGCTCTTTACAGTGGACCATTTACATCATTGTCTCAGTTGATTGCACCAAATTATCCTATCGATTACAACTTGCATCTCAATCTCTCAGAGGTAGGCAAAAGAATTGCAGACTACTCCATGAGGATCAGGGAGAGAAAAACCAATCTTTGATCTGTTTGAGTTCAAAAATAGATACAAATATAACAACAGAGAATCTTGTAACAGGAAATCCTGTTTACTTTAATTTTTGTTTGAAAAATTACTTTTATTGGCATAAATCTGTAAGCAAAGGCCCTAAAAAATGTTTGTCATCTGTCCTTAGTTCCATGCAGAAGTTGAGATTCCTCAAGAAACAGACAATGCAAGTCAAGGTAAAGCCATCTTTTTTTGATGTTGATCGAGCTGGTATCACTGGTTTTATATATCAGTGAGTCAATCCCATTAACCTCATTGATCATTATCCCTTCACTCTCATGATCTCTTTGGTAATTCTCCTTACTATCTGCTACACATTGCTTGTAATTTCAGTTTTAAGAATTTGGCATTGAATCAAATGATAATCCACCAATTGATATTTTTCATCACTTGTCTACTTGAGATTGTATTGATATTGTAAGGAGAAATTCCCTCTTGGTCACTACTGGGGGTGATGGGGTTATTGGTAATGACTTGCCAGAACACCAGAGTAGAGTAGGTGAAAAGCCAAGGCATTGGTAAGATATTCATTGTAGGATCCATCTGTGTCCTTCTGGCATTTGGTTGGAATATGCCAATCCCTGTATATTATATATAATGATAATAGGACTGAGTGGAGTCCAATTCTGTCTGTAATCATACTCGTGATCAACAAAATTTGTTAATCACGAGTATGATTACAGACAGGATTGGACGACACGAGGTCCTGTTACCAATTAATCAAAACTATGACAAAATTTGAGAAAGAAGCTAGGCATCGGTTGTACGTTTTGATAAAAAAAAAACAACAACAGCAACAGCTTCAAACAGTTGACTCGCCGAAATGTGAGACAACTGCGCACGCATTTGACGCGTTCTGTCCACTTACACGGGCATGACGTATTAACTGTTCCTTTCACTGTCCTATTACACTGTCCAAATACAAGCATGATGGTTCAACCTCCATTGTTAGAGAGGGGGGGGGGGGGGGGGGGGTAGGTTCTGTGTGTACGTCTGATTTAGGTTAAAAAAAAAAAAAGTCATCTTTAATATATGTGTGGTATAAGATATGTTTTCAACTGTTCCAAGGAGTTTTGACCTCCATTGTGGCTTTTTGTTTTAAGCTGCTCGGGTGATTTGAAGCAAGTGCCAAACGGCCGTGAAGCGCGAGTTACGCGCGAGAGAAGGAGTGTGTTCGCTTCGAGCCTACCCCTGCTCACCTTTAAAGAAGCCAAAGATTTACGCTTGCTCTGTGAGCCGCAGGCCTAACCACGTTCTAGACAGTTCTGAGCAGAGTATTTTTGTTGTTATGTCACAGATCCTTCTAAGTACACCACATTTTTGCATTCCCGACCGGAAGCGATGGAAAACCAAGCGATTGAGCTGGTGATCAAACTTTGTGAAGAATACAGGTTAGTCGGCATAATAGAAAATTGAAAATTACACGTTATGTAAATTATCAATCGATAAAAAAATAATTGTCCTCATCACTCAATGGAAGATGCAATTTTTCGCATGAGGCTATCTATTGATAAATTGATCAATAATTTGCGATATCTAACCCTTTACATCATAACATCAGTATGCATATTCCCCATACTGATCTCTAAAGATTTTCCTAAGGTGCTGACAGGGAGAATTTGTTTAATAATCAAGAGTATCTTAACTTGGTGATCATTTCCTGACCTAAATGTGTGATTCACCGTACAGATCAAATACTTTTCCTTCTATCATTGTGACGTTCTGTTTGTATTTCAGAGTACCCTGTCACATTGTGCACCTTTCTTCAGCAAGTGCCCTGCCCATGATCAGGAAGGCCCGCGAGGAAGGCGTCCCTCTCACGATAGAAACCACGCACCACTACCTGTCACTCCAAGCTGAAAATGTGCCTGATGGTGCCACTCAATTTAAGTGCTGTCCGCCTGTACGAGATGGCAAAAATCAAGTAAGCATAGCTGCGTTTTCAACAGGAAGCTTAGTAACATTCACGCGCGCATCGTTTCAAAAGCAAGAAAAAGATAAATAAGGGAAATGCGGTAAGCTGGTTACAATTTATTGATCTATTTGATTACTTCATAGGAAAGTCGGAAAGTAATCTTCGACCTCTCGTACGTACTCGACCCAATTCTCCTGACGTATGTTCCAAAATCTCGCTAAAAAATACAATAAGTGGAACCGCGTTGTATTTGTTTTCCTCTCTCCTCACAGGAAGCTCTATGGGATGCCCTTAAGTCACGTGACATTGACTTAGTCATTTCAGACCACTCTCCGTGCACTGAAGATCTTAAGCTGATGGACAGAGGGGATTTTATGGCGGCCTGGGGAGGAATATCAGGGGTGCAGTATGGTGAGTGCTTATTGAGCATATGCGCACGTACATATTGTTCAATGGACAAGACGTACCACGGTTAATTCCAATTTCCTTTTTCAGGGTTATCCATTTTCTGGTCGCAGGCGTGTAACCGAGGTTTCTCTCTTCACGATGTTGCTCGTGTAATGTGCGAGGAACCCGCCAAGTTAAGTCGTTTGAGTCATCGGAAAGGAAAGATTGCTGTGGGCATGGATGCGGATTTTGTGCTTTGGGATCCTGATGAACGAATTGTGGTAAGACTTGTTAAAAAGGTTAATTCCAGGCGTATGGTGTTGGCAAAATGATTATGAATGTGCAGTGTTTGTATCTGCGGTATATGTCTTTCCTTTTGGGAACCCACGCACCTTTGTGTAAGTTATGCCTCGATTGGATGAGGCGATCAAGTGTCACCACCATAGCAGCCTTATTGCGCATGCTATGTGCACGTACTTCAACTGACCATTTGTATCATAACTAGTTCGGACAAGTGTACGCAGCGTTTTGACGGGCGTGTTAAAGAGAATGTAGTGCTAGTTTTCTACCAGGTTGCAACGCACGAAGGAGAAAAAAGCAAGCGGTGTCACATAGTTTGATTTGGTTTACAATGTAATCTTCTTCTCATAAAATATATACGTGGAAGTGAGTTTGTTCACATTAAATATACCTTTTACCAACCGAACCCTGTTCGAGATTCGTACTGTAACTTACAGACCGAGTTTTTTTCCGCGCGGGCCATAAATCCGAATGGAAAAAAATGAAGTTCCATTACTTACTGTACGAACCGAGAAAACGAGGTTAGTAAGATGTTCATAATGTATCTCTGGATTCAAATTGACGGGGAAGATTCCAATTGAAACGAACTTTTGAATTTAGCGGGCTGTACATTGAAATACGGCCCGCTACATTGACCAATCACAGGGAACGTACTAACTGAGAGATATAATAAAACTATTTATGTATTTACTTTTTCCAGATCGATCAGAAGATAACTCGACATAAAAACAAGGTACAAAGGCTGGGTGATTGATTTTTAAACATTGAACAATGATTAAATCACAATCTTACTATTTTGGTTTTTTGAGGTCAATCAAAGCACTGTTCACGCTTATCTTTTTTTTTGCCTGGACAGTGTGCACATTTAACAGCTTTCATATATAGCTCGCGTCCAAATGCTGTCCAACCATTCCATCTAATTAAGAGGAGGACAAAGCTTTCTCTCTCTTGTCCCTCTTCACTTGCTATCGCCTCCGATAAAAAGCGAGCGCCATTTTATAATTTGGAAAGTGTTAAATGTTTTTTGTTTCACGGGGTAAGGGGTTGGGATGGACTGGGGAGGAAGGGAGAGACATGGTAGGTCAGCGGATGGCGCACAAGAATCGAAACTGGTTCATGTTTGCTCCTTAGCGAGACACCAGTTACCACCCCAGCTGGGGAATAATGGACTGGGGAAGAATGGGTACTAGCAAACTGTCAGGGCAATGTGCAAGGCGGGTTACTTCGCGATATGATTTAAGTTGTGCCATCCTATGGAAACCGGGTTGAGCTCTGGCATAAATGAGCCGCTAGATTTGTTATACTTCACCTGTATTTTATGTTTTGTTTTTACTTTAATTGGCAGGTTACTCCATACCACAACATGACGTTGCATGGAGTCGTTCACAAGACTATCCTACGAGGAAATGTCGTGTACGAGCGGGACAGAGTCTGCGATATTCCAGCGGGTCAGCTCATACTGGAGAAACCTTCACGAGGAGACAGCTTGATAAAATGAAAAATAAAACAAAATAGTGTATTGAACACATCCTAACCCTGAAACAAACATACAATGGTCCTTCCTGAAAATTATTAATTAAAACTTAAAAGCTAATCGTTCGTCTGTGACTAAGAAATTGTGGGCTTTCGCTCGCAGCACGTAAGTTATCCGAAAGCGAGTTCCATTCCTAGAATTAAATTAAGTGTATAGGAGATGGCGTTACAAGTTTCCATTTTATGGAAATAAAAGATGGATATAGAAGATGGAAATAATTTTATGGCATCATTTTATAATATCAAAGCGTTGTAATACTATAGGAGACTAATGATACACAA